CCAACAAAGGCAAGAAACAACCCATACAGCAACATGGGGAATGAGAGTGGAAGTGCCAACTCCCATCTAGACCCTGGGTCGGATGGGCCCCCTGTGAGGGAGCCGGGCTGGAGAGTAGAGAGAGCTGGCTGGTCACTCCCAGGAGGGAGGACGGAGTGACACATTTCCTTGAGAGCAAAAGTACCAGTGGGTGTTTGTTGAGTGCTTCCTCTGGGCCCAGGGGGCTCTGGGAGGAAAGGCTTCCTGAGGGAGGGGGCTCGGAGAGACGAGGGCAGGCCGAGAGGAGAGAGCTGAAGAGCAGGAGAGAGCTGAAGAGCAGGCGAGAGCCTCTGGATGCCGCAGGGACCCTGCTCTCTGAAGAACCTGGGCCCCCGTCCGTGGATTGGGGAGGGGTCCCCATGCTGGGCCACTGACCTCCTTGGTCACCAGAGGCCGGCTGTCACAGCATTCTGGCGGGACAGCTTGGCTTTGCTTTTCCCAACTTGTTCCTCCAAAGATGTAAAACATCAGACCCATTGCTGGCCAGTTAGCTCTGACTCATAGCAAGGTTCAGGGTTCAAACATCATCTCAGGGTGGGTAGCTTGGGTGGGGCACCCCAACCTCTATGGGATCCAGAAGTCTGGGTTCCAAGAAAAAGATAAGCTCCCTTCTTCCCCCTCCTCCCCTCCCTCTCTGCTCCAATTTACTTTCCATCTCTCTGCGTTTGTCCAGTTGACAGAGTCCACGAGAGTGCAGTCCACTCTCTCTCATGTCAGTGGACTCCTCCTCCTCCTGTGACTTGAACAGAAGTCTTCTAAGTGTGAATGAATGGCAGGCTGATTAGAAACGTCCACACCGGCTCCCCTGCCCCTGGGAGGCCAGCTGGCCACACCGACAGGCCCGGTCCCTCCCTGAGTTGAGAGGGGGGCCTCTGGGTCACACGCCCATTCCTGTGGGCCTGGCACCATCATCAGGGCTCTGCCTCTGTCCGGGACAGGAGAGTGAGACCCACAGGGGTTGTGCCCCAGGCGGTGGGCTCCAGGTGTCTGCGCGTGCTTAACCAGAGGGTCTCTGGAAGACCTGCGGACAGGTTTTCTGAAAATATGCACGCCATCCCCCCCCCCAGCCC